TATTGAAGGTAATTGAGCTCTTTATACATTAGAGCTTAAGTATGCCATTTTGTTATTTTTCTCTTTTTTCCTGTTTTCTGTCCTCCCTCTTGCTTTCTCTTTTTTTTGCCTTCCTGTGGATTACTTAAACATTTTTTAGGATTCCATCTTGATTTAATTATAGTGTTTGGAGAGATGTACTCTCCAAATATATAGTGTTTGTAGTTGTTCTGGGTATTTCCCCCTTCCTGTGTGTGTGTGTGGCAGTCTACTGGTATCAACATTTTATTACTTCAGGTGAAGTATGAAAATCTCAAATTCATTTAGAACACTTTGCTTTTCATACTTTTAAATATTGTGTTTAGTGTCAAATGGTGTTATAATTTTTGTTTGAAACATCAAATATGACTTAAAAACTCATGATAAGTATGGTCTATTATGATGTACTCTTCTACTTTCAGTTGTCCTTTTTTTCCTTCCTGATGCTCCAAATTTCCTGCTTTTAGCATTTACTTTCTACGTAGAAATTCCTTTAGCCAGTCTTCAAGAGTATGCCTGCTAGTGATAATTTCTTAAGTTTTCCTTCATTTGAGGATGTCCTTATTTTCCCTTCTTTTATGAAGAATATTTTCACTGGAAATTGGATTCTGGGTTGACAGTTCTTTTAGCAGTTGCAAAATATGCCACTTTCTACTGGCCTCCATATTTTCAGATGATAAATCCTATTATTTAAATTGGTTCCCTTATAGGTAAAGTGCTGTTTTTGTGTGCCTTCAGAACATTTTTGTCTTTAGTTTTCAAACATTTAATTATCATGTGTCTTTGTTTCACTCAACTTCTTAATATATAGATTTATATCTTTCATTAGATTTGGGAAATTTTCAGCCTTTGTTACTCTGAATAATGTTTCAACCTTATAGAACTCTTTTTGGAACTCTGATGATACAAAATTTGAACTTTTATTATTGTACTACAGGTCCCTGAGATGCTATTCATTCTTTTTTTTCAGTCTGTTTTCTGTGTTCAGACAGTATAAATTCAATTTGTCCTCAAGTTCACTGATTCTATCCTCTGTCATCTCCATGCTATTACTGAGACCATACAATGAGTTTTAAAAATTTTATTGTATTTTTGTCCTGTAATTTTCATTTGGTTCTTTTCTACAACTCCTTCTTTGCTGAATCTTTTTTTTTTGTTTCAAGAAAATATCTATTTGGTTGACACATTTTTAAGATGCCTGTTTTAAAGCCATCTTGATCTTAGTGTCAGTTATCTCTTCTCATTGTGATTTTCTTGGTTCTTAGTGTGGCAGGTGATTTTCTATTGTGTTCTGGACATTATGTCTATTATGTTAGGAGACTCTGGGTCCTACTTAAATTCTTTACTTTAGCAGGCAGTCACCTTGCTTCACTTTAGCACACATGTCCTGGACCATATTTGGGGATTGTGGATCCAAAGACAGTTTAATTTTCAGAGGCTTTGTGATGCAATTTTGATCTATTCTCTGCCAGAAAAGCCTCTTTGTCCGTTGGCCTGAGGCTCCCCTGGCTGGGGGCTTTTTGTGATGAAGTCCTGCTGGTCTACCTTATCCAGGCATCTCAGTGTCTTTAGGTAGGGGAGGGGAGTGTTAGGCCTCCTGGGGCAAAGGTGCTTCCCAGGCTGAGCTGCTTGTTGTAGCTAAGTCCCTTTCTAAGTACCCAATAAATGTTAATATTCCCTTTCTTCTACACAGCCCATTTTTTCCCTTAGTTGTTTAAAGCCCCTGAGGACAGAAACAATCTCTTCATCTTGTATCCTTAGAGTCTAGAATAGTCCCTGGCAATAAAAATGAAACTGCCCAAATAGTATTGATATCATTTCTTAATACCTCTGTCTCCTCTCAGCCACGCTCCTTCCTTCTTTTCAAATTTATTTGACCTCCTTGTGGTTCAGTTTCTAGTTTGAATTAACTTATTTTTAGCTTTCATTCCTTCTGTTCATTTGCTCTGCCTCAAGCAATAAGCTTCTTTGTGTTCATATGTTTTGATGCTTCTCTGTTTCTCAGTCATTCCATTCTTGGGAAAAGATATGAAATGTTTCTTTGCTTCCCGAATGTTAGGCAGTGACAATCACAGCCCATGACCTGGCAGAGAAGGAATATTTCTTTATAGCATCCATTTTACTTGCTCAGAGTAATAGGCCTACCTCACAAATACAGGCTTTTAGCCAATTTATTCACTCATCATAGCAGATCAAGAGACTGCAAGATGTTTTAAATTTGATTCCAAGTTACTGTGATGTCAAATAAACCTAGATAAACACAATTAGCATTTAAACCTTAATGTCTCCCAAATTTGCATCATATATTGCCATGTAAAATCCAACTCCAGAAAATGTATTTACTTTGTCTAACAAATTAGGTTAGAAAAAACAGTTTGAACCATTTAAAAATTCTGTGTGTGCTCTCATGCTGCACAATAACACACTGTACAAATTGAGTAACAACATACATCTGATATCATCATCTGTGTATTTCTTTGGGACTTCAAAACAAAAATTTCCAAACTACACCACAGAGTTTTCTTTTAATTCTACCACAGATCTGACATTATGCAGAACTGAAGCTCAAGGAGATCATGGTGTTTAAAAAATAAAACAATACAAAAGAAGGATTTATATTCACAGGTGGCTTAGAAACAGAGTATGATTCATGCTTTGGGTAGATAGCACACAGAGCTCAGTAGTAGTCTTTCTTTCAGCAGAAAACTTAGCTTTAAGATATCCTCATAAACAGAATAGATATTAACATCAACATTTTACTCAACTTTTATTATTTAGTTTTTTCTTTGTATTGAAATAAGCAGCTTGTAAAGGCTTCCTCTCAAGTCATTAAAACATGACCAGGTAGGAGAAGAAAAATTAAACACTTACTACCATAATTTGGCTTAAGATACATAATATTCCTAGTTTCTTTTCAACAAACAAAATAATGTAATTGGTTCCAGGAAACACTATATCTTTTCAAGTCAAAGTCATGCCATGAAAAGTAGAAAAACACAATGTGAGATAATTTCTTGAATCCAATGTTTTCAGTAGACTGACTCTTTTTAAACAATAGTCTTTGTATTTCTGTAAAATTTAGAGTGCAATTAATATCAGTGTATGGATACACTGCCAAAATCTAATCAAGGCGATTCCTGACAGTGGGGTTGTGGTCTTCACTACTGGTAGAATAAATAATTTTTTTTTTTTACTAAGGTAGTAATATTTTCTCGAATCTCTTTGAAATGGTGGTTAAAATTACACAGAGTGAACCTCAACGAAGCGAAGATGTAGTAGTCATGAAAAATAAGTAATATTTAATAAGTTTATGTAACCTGAGAAGTACGGATGTCTGGGTATGTGTCTGGGGTCACCTGGGTCAATTTGGTCAGAATGGTTGAATTTAAGGGAAGAAAATTTCATAGAATCAAATTGAGTTGATGGTTCTTTTGATATGAGAATATGGACTGTATCTAATTCTAGGAGCATAATAAGAACATAATGCCTAAAAAATGATAACTATATCTAAAGCATGGCTTATTTGGTAAATGTTAAGATTAGAAAAATATAAGAGAAACTTTTTTTCTAGAAAGACTGACAGGGCATATGACTAAAAGCTCAAAGTTCCAGTTCTACATTAATTACATTTTATAAAATTTCCAATGTTAAGTAGAAATTGGAATCACTAAACTAAAAACAATTCTACAAAGGCAATATTGCTCTGGTAAGATTGTTAACCAGAGGATATTTTATTTAATAGACAGCATGGACTTCATACACCTCCATTATCAGTGCCTTGAAAACCAAACAACTTTAAAAGTTAGCAGCAGTTTCTGCAAGTACAAAAATACACATTTATTACATAACATGATAGTAAAATTTGTCGATATATTATACAAACTCAAAGCATTTTAGATAAAGCGTCAGTCTAATATATTATAGATTAACAGAGTATAATAAAATGACATGTTCTTTAAATCATATAATACTTTACAGCAATATTAACAAACTATTCACATTAAGCATATAGGAGTATTTAAGGGAACACAGAGAGTAGGAATGGTTATTTAAGAGCTTCAACATCTATTTTCTTCTATGCTTCAAACTGGGTAGGTGATTTTCTACTCAACTATACACACACACACACACACACACACACACACACACACTATTATTTTTTTTAAGTAGAGAAGAAATTTCTTCCAGAAAGACATTCTAAGCTGGAAGTTTCATTCACATCTTGCAATTCTGACAGTAGTTTTGCTCTAAGGGTAAGGGACATCCCTGTTGCCTTTATATACCACAAAAAAAATGCATATGGACACTTAGGAGTCTAAATATAGGAGTGGTTCTTTACAAAGTGACATCTACTTCACATCTGTGACTGAGATGGCCAGTGTCATGAAGTTCTTTGGACCCAGAGTTCTAAAAGCTAATTATAATGCTTAGGACAAACAGGGTCAAGTACCCTAGAGGTAGGTAGCACCAATAGCTAATACTGAAAGGACTCTTCTTATCTTACAGAAAATATTTTTCCCCCATAACTAAAAAATGCAACATTTAGGACAACAAGGAAAGAACACTTGACATGAAAGTTTCCTGGTGGCTCAGAAAGATAATATAGAATAAGCTAGTTTGTGGAAGAAGGCTCATATGATGGTGCACTAAAGAGACCCAATGGGTTCTAAGCAACTTCTTCTAAGTAACGAGTTCAAACAAAAAAGATAACATCCTTTCCTGACTCTATCCCTTCACACTGGCTGGCCAGGCCTAATAATCAATGGAGAGAATCCAGGTGATATATCAGTATAACTTTAAGGCAAGATAAAGGAGAAATGGCCATGGGTATAAAACAAACCAATAGGGTATACACTATCTGTAAGCCATGGATCATTTGGGAAAACAATATGTAAAAACTTCTAGGTAAGAAAATCCAAAGCCAGTGATTAAGAAAGAGGCCTGACAGCCACTTTGGTGGGTATTCTATTCTGCAACTCTTCATAACCTGGCAACCTCTAAATTGCTCTCTCTTCTGCCAAATGATAATCAGAAAAAGGATGATTTATCAGTAATTTTTTCTGGCTGTGTACTCTAAGAGGCAAGGCTGCAGAAAAACATTTCGGCAAAAAGGAGCCAGACTTTGATCACATGTTGGCAATAGCATTCGTGTAACAGAGAAAAGGGCCGTTGTTGCAATCTTCCTCCCCACTCAGATAACAAATGCTCTCAGGTCACCTTCTAATAAAAAAGCTGCATTTTGGGAGAATGTTCCCAGCACAAGTACCTTTGGAAAGGACACTGAGATGAGCAACCATTTCCTTCTTTCTCTTCATAGCTCTGTTTCCTGGAGCCTGTGCAGAGCAATGCAACACTAATAGAAAAAAGAACCAAGCAACACAGAAAAGAACAGAAAAAAGATATCATGATACTCATGGTTTTTGAATCACTCTACTTTTTCCCAGTCAGCTACATCAATGGGTTGTTTTCAGGACTAATGCTGTGAGGGCATGTGACTATAAGATGTCACAGAAATGGCCTCTTGCTTGGATTCAGGGAAATGTTTGGCATGATTTCTTTCATTACCAGGCATGCTTTTCTTCCCAATGCTTCGATTAGTGGCATTTTTCTTGCCTATTTATTAAAAACATTCCATGGAGTATGGATGGCTTCTCTGCACCCTTCCTCTCTCCCCACTGTCACCATTTTTCACTTAGGATATCCTGGCCTTCTCAGGAGATTAATTTTACATTAATGTTTTCTCTACAGAAGATGCCTTCTCTAACTCTCTGCTAGTATCTCTAAAATCACTTAGGTGATGCAGCTTTTCTTCAGTCTAAACTTTTTGCCAAATGATTTCATTAAAGAGAATCATTTTGTTGTCCTAAGTATTAGCAGTAATTATCTTTATGCTACCTATCCCAGGTATATTACAAAAGGGGTCACGATAATTATTGTCTTGATGTCATTATTAGCCCAGTTTCTGTTCTTACTCTGGTAAAATGTCTTTGGTTGAAGCTTTGTCCCCAACATCATGAACAACTGTAGGCCCTAAGTCTGGGCTGGACACATTATCCACCATCAAAGAGCTGGGTGAGGAGCTCGCACGAGGCAGGGAGCCAGGAGAGCACTGCCCACCCTTCTCTCCTTCCTCATGTGACTTCATACAAAGCTCAAGTCTCCCTTCCACTGGGCTGAATGGAGAGCCAGAGTGTTTCTCCGAGACTTGGCTGGGATCAGCGCGACCCCACTGGGCTGTCTGCACAGCTCCAAGTTCTTCCATTGCCTGCAGGGGCACGTCCTTCTGTTTGTCTTGCAGTGAGTTGGCTTCTGAAATACCAGAAGCAGGTGGAGGTGGCCCCAAGGGTCCTAGTAGAGAAGCCATTTTCTTTTCCTCTGATCTGGTTGCTCTTACTTTGTTTTTGAGGGACCAGTTTTTCAAACTGGCCATACCATTTCTTAACCACATGCTGGGATGAAGAGTTACAGAATGCATCTGTGAATGTCGCTCTATAGTGTCCTTTTTTGTATAGGCCAAGTGGCTGCTGGCCTGCCCCAAGGAGGTACCAGGCAGTCCAGAAATGAGACTGGAACTGCAAAAGTCAGAAGAAAGTTCTTCTTGCTTTCTTTGAGCCTGAAAAGTGCAATCTATTGGAGAGGAAGTTTCAGTGGGTGTAAACACAGAATGTTCTGAAATCTGAGAAAAAGCACTGTCTTGGGAGCTCACTGATGAGCCAGATGGGGAAGTGCCTGGGGAGGACAAGCTAGAATAGCTAGTCCTTGGGCAGATGTTTAATCTTGAGGGTAAAAACTTCTCAGTGTTTTGGTTTGTGGTACTACTCTTGCCCACCTCAATCCCCATGACCAAACTCTGATTAATAAGTTTTTGCCCCTCCATTTGCAAAGACTTGTGCTGCTTGAGATAATCCTCCTCTCCATGCAAGTGACTGGCTTCATAGCTAGCTTTATTTTGTTTCTTTGAAAAAATCCCCCTGAGATAGCTCAGTTTAGAGTGCTGGTCATCAATGTTGGGCTCTGAGCAGCGCCTGTGCCTCCTTGAACTCTTGAGGGCATCTGTTGTGTGTGGTGAGGGGTGTCCAGGTGTATCTGCATCAAAGGGCTGGTTCCTGGGATGATCATGTGAGGGCATGTGACTGTAAGATGCCACAGAAATGGTCACTGGCTTGGATTTAGGGAGAAGCTTCATATGATCTCCTTCATTACCAAACAAGCTTTTTTTCTTAGCATTTTTACTGGTGGCATTTTTCTTGCTATCAGTGCCTGTAACTGAACTCTGTTTAAAATATGCCTTACCCTCTCCCTGTAGGGATTGGTTCTGCTTCAGATGGTCCTCATCTTTTTGTGAGAGAATTGCATCACAGCTGGATTTGCGTAGCTTTTTCTGGTAAAACTCCCTGAGAGAGGAAAGCTTTGAATCTAGATAGTCCATGCTGGGCTCTGAGCAGCGGCGATGTCGCCTTGAGCTTTTTGGAGCATCTGCTGCAGCTGTTGACAGATAGTTGGGGATAGTCATGCCAGAGGGGTCCCCGGCATGGTCCTGCAGTGTGGCCTTTCTGTACAGTACTGTAACAGTCACTGGTGTGGATTCAAGAGGCTGTTCCATTTGAATGTCTTCATGTTTAGAACGGTCTAAGTCAAAGTCACTGAGGGTTAAAGGACCTTCCACCTCAGGCTGGTCAAGGTCGTAGTCACTAAGAGTTAAGACAGAGTCCATGCTTCTGCTCCCCTGACCAAGGGTCTTTACTAGGTCACTACATGGAGCATCAGCATCCTCATTCAGCTCATTTTCCAAGCTGTCATAGGAGGAGTCAGTCATTTGTAAGCAAGAGATATCTGAAAAAAATCAAACCATGAATAGCATTTTATTTACTCCAAATACATGTTGCCTTAAAAAAACCTAACTTATTGTGCTTAGTTCATCTTTTCATGTAGATTTTTCAAATTTCTACTCTAAAAAAAAAGGGTCTTTCACAGCCTTTTTAATTGTCAGTGCAGAATATAAAATGAAACTGTTCAGGTACACTAGATTTATCTCAGTTCCTGAAGAATTGCTTTCCTTAACTAAGATTTCCTCAAACCAAGGAGACATGCCATAATCTAAAGAAATGTTAAAAAATAAATAAATAAAGGAATCAATGCCAAGTATACCTAGGTTCTGAATAAGATTGCTTTCTAATATGGATTGCTGGTGAGTACACATACTTAACTCTAGTCTCAGGGAAGCCATTTACTATCTATTTCTCTTTGACAAAGTTTTAATATCCATTATTTATTTAATCTTTAAAATAACCATTAAAGTTAGACATGATGGTTATCCCTATGTTATAGATACAGAATTGATGTTCAGTGGCATAGAATAATTGGCCAAAGATAACATAACTAGTAATTGGTGGTATAGGAATTCATATTCTGGAAGGCTGAATGTCTTCATGTCTGCTCCTACCCACACCCATGACGCTGTTCCTTTTTAAACTGTTTTATAGCACACACAAGTTCTGAAGTATCTCAGGGATACTAAGAGAAGAGAAAAGGAGAGACCAGGCCTGCCTCTACTGCCTCTAAACCTTCTAAACTCCAGTTTAACTACAGTTGTTCTTTTATATATATTAGCATTTCTACTAAAGTTTTTTTTTTAAGTGTTAAAATCATCATACCATAAATGCTACCACTAAAAAGTTCTTGAAGTTTGGGGTCTTGTCTTACACATTTCTAACCCTGCCAGAGTTAGCATTAGCAGGCTTCCTAATGAAGGTGCCCTAAGCTCACTGACCCAGACTAGTGGCTCCCTTCACCTGAGCTGCTGTGGGACCCAGGATAACCACTGTCGCCCCATCTTCACAGACATGTGCCTTATTTTTCATAAAAAACAACCCAATTATTTACAATACCTGAGGTATGCTCTCTAGTATCACATCTCACTGAAACCTCTCCAAAGAGGGAAGTGATTTCTTCTCCAAATATTCTACAGCAGTTTTCAATCAGAAACTGAATAACCAGAGTGACCTGCAGAAAAAGGGATAAAAATAAAATGCTATTTTTCATATAGCATGTCTATAAATGATGTTTCATATATGAATCACGATTTCAACAAAAAAATGCAAAAGAATCCTGGGGAAAATTCATGTCTGTATTAAGTACACAAAATAGTTTCTCCTAAAAAAACTATGATACTATCAAGAGTAATTTAGGTATAAAAATTTAACTTTAATCAGTGGACTAAAGTTATTATTTGTGGCCTTGGCCTAATGCTAACATTTTTATACCAATAGCTCTTTCTTTAAAATTAGGGTAGTTTTAAGTATTCTCTACAGAGTGTTTGAAGTGAAGAAATATACTTTGTTATTAAAATCCATAAAGCATCCTCAGATAAAGACTTATGAAATGTATTTCTTATATAAAAGGCAGAGGTCATAAGCTTGGGAAGAGGGCATCCTCTGTGGGTTTACTGTGAAGGAGAGACAGCTGGAGAGAAAATTTGCATTCTACCTGACTGGTCCTCTACCTAGATGCATATCCTTCCCTTAAGCTCCCTAACTGGGGGTGCTTGGGAAAGAAGTAAGATATCACCAGAAGTAAGCTTTAGTGATGTACTGATGTACTAATGTAGGGAGATTTCACTGAGATGTATTAGTTTCCCTGTCCCAGTAGTTGAGCCAAAGGAGCAGGCAGAATGGTGGGAGCAAAGGGAATTAATATCCCCAAACCCTGTATTAAGCACCAGGCACTATAGTGTGATGAGCTAGGTATTATTACTACCTCCGTTTTTCAGTTGAGAAACTGGATCAATGTAACTAATTTTCCTGAAGGTTGTATATCTGGTAAGAGGTGCGGCTGAGAAGTGAACCCTGGCTTGTCTAACTTCAAAATCCTTGTTTATTTTTAAAATCGTATCAACTGCTTTCTTACTACTCTATGCTTTAAGTCAGTCACAGTTTTTGCCTCTTTAAAGGGAAAGAGAAATAACCAAACTGCTAGCACTCTTCTGCTTAAGAAATAACTTTTTTATAGTCTACCAGGATAATATAAAACAATGAATATACTCAAATTTACGTTAAGAAAATGTCTTTCAGAATAAATACCTGAATTTTAGGTTCAAAATGGAGACTCAATCCCCCACGGCATAAAAATGAAAACCTTTATTACCTTTTTTGTAAATTCGTTTTCTAGCTCTGGGCTGGAGGAAGTAGAAGGCCAAAGAATGCTTGGAGCAATGCACACTGCTAAATTAAATGCAGTCATCTGATTGGATGAGGAATGTTGCTCAATGTTGCGTAACACCCCAAAAAGATACCGTAGAAGAAGAACATTGGCTCTTGGAAGCTGGTTTAACAGCCTAAAAACAGAAAAAAAAATATGCACTCTTTAAGCAAGACATTTCATAAAAAATTTGTATAAACAGGCAACCTTCATTTTCCATGGGCTTCTGATGCAAAACAAGAACACAGTCCAGACATGCAAGAGTTTCAGTTAATATGGTACCATGCAAAGTGAAGACTACCTGTACAGAAAGCACTGGGGATTCAGTTTCTTATTTTGAACACAGTCTTCACAACTTAATGAAAATGTAAAAGAATGCAGAAAAGTGGCTAAAAAAATGCTACCTGAAATATTTACCTGAAACTAGTATAATGTGTTTTAACTTAAGTAAATCCTGTAACATTTCAGAATATTCTCAACCAAAACCTCCAAAACATCTTCTGATAAAATTCAATAACCATTAAATTTAAAGTGCTCCTTTATTTCCAAGTAGCAACACAGGAATTGTTATCCCTTGAGGGGAACCCAATCTTCAGCTATTAAGACTGCCAAGTCCATTCTTAGACCTTATGCTCTGCTTCACTAGCTTCTAAAGTCCATTTGTCCCAAATCTCATCTCACTGGTATCACTTTCACATGTAAGTCCAGATTATCATAGTCTATTTACTATTGTTCCTATTTTGTAATTGAGAAGGGATTTCTAAATTATCATTCACTGAAAATGATGTTTATTACCATCCAGAAAACATATATATTGATATTCATGGTTGTTGCTTTTCTTTTTTAAACAAGAATCTCAACCAAGAGGAGAAAATTAGGTAGTCTGATTCCTGTTGCAAAAATTATACACAGGTATTTCTTCAGAATAGTAAATTTACAATGAGTGTAATTTTGTAAGGACAAATTAGGGAAGATATTGGAATGGACCAAAAGATGACTGAGCGTATTCAATGGGAAGCAAGACATTGTCTATCACACGCTGATTTGGGTTATCTCATTTTATGAAGGCCTTAAGCCTTTGAGCTAACTTTACAAATGCTAAGTTGCAGATAAATGACAGTCATGCACCTAGTACTTGTCCATAGTACTAAAAATTCTGTTTGGTGAAGAGACAAATTAATTACTTGTGCCTTTCTCCCTACCCCTCAATGCCCCAGTAGGGAAAGCCAGTTTTGCATCTACCTGTAAATTCATTTCAGCATCTCTGATTCAACTATATAAATTGTGGTAGTTTAAAATCTCCTTTGAACTGGTTTCAACATCTCAGTTCTCTCATTAATAAATGATTTAAATTGAATCTTTTACATGTGTTCTTTTATATTTGTATGAGAGTCATAGTTTTGTTTTATTAAAAAAAAAAAAAACCAAGGAAATCACCCTTTAACATTAGAGTGTAGTTTTACACAATGAGCCACAAGTATAGAATCTGATCTTCACTTTCTTTGAATGGTCTCCACCAAACCATATAAAAGCAGAGATAACAGTCTTTTGTTACAAGGCTTTGATTTCTGGTTTCTTCAACAGCTGTACTATGTTCTTCTACAGATGACAGATGTTTATCAATAGCAGTGTATAGATAAAAATTCGTAGTTCAAAGTTGCACAAGAAGAAACGGCACCAAATAACCATATTCAAAAAGTGATATTGAGATTCTTGGGTTTTCAAAGAACTAGAAATATTGCTTTTTAAAAAATGGACACTTCTTTCCCATTCTCTGATAATGCAGGAAATATTGCAGAATGGGGGTGGGTGAATCCTGCCAGCAACTTCCCTTTGCATGAGTATAGATGATGTATTCCTTGCGATCAGGCTGTAACTGTGCAACTCCCGTTTTCTTTGAAATTTTAAAAGAGTTTACTGCTTCTCCACAGTGCTTCCACAATATCCCCTCCCCATTATAGCACAGATTATACTGCACTGTAATTCTTTTTTTAATTATATTTTATTGATTATACTATTACAGTTGTCCAGATTTTTTTTTCCCTCTTTGACCCCTCTACCTAACACCCCCAACTCCCTCAGGCAATCCCCTCACCATTGTTCGTGTGAATGGGTCATGTACATAACTTCTTTGGCTACTCTATTTCCTATACTGTACTTTACATCCCCATGGCTATTCCATAACTACCTATTTGTATTTCTTAATCCCCTGATCTCTTCACCCATTCTCCCCCTCCCCACTCCCATCTGGCAACCATTTGGTAACTAACTTTTTTTCTCTTGCTGCTTTTAAGAGCCTCTCTTTATCTTTAACCTTTGGCCTTTTAATTATGATGTATCTTGGAGTGGGCATTTTTGCATCCATCATAGTTGGGACTCTCTGTGCTTCCTGGACGTGCATGTCTATTTCCTTTACAAAATTAGGGAAGTTTTCTTTCACTTTTTTTCCAGACAGATTTCCAATTTCTTGCTCATTCTCTTCTGTTGGTACCCCTATGACGCCAATGTTGGGCCCCTTGAAGTTGTCCCAGGGGCTGTTTATACTATCCTTATTTTTTGGGGATTCTTTTTCCTTGTTGTTCTGTATGCTTGTTTTTTGCTTCCTTATGCTCCAAATCATTGACTTGATTCTTGGCTTCATCCAATCTATTGTTGTTTCCCTGTAAATTATTCTTTATTTCAATTAGTGTAGACTTCGTGTCTGACTGGATTTTTGTTTATGCTGTTGAGGTCCTCACTAAGTTCCTTGAGCATCCTTATAACCAGTGTTTTGAACTCTGCATGTGATAGATTGCTTATCTCCATTTTATTTAGTTCTTTTTCTGGAGTTTTGATCTGTTCTTTCATTTGGACCATGTTTCTTTGCCTCCTGGTTTTGCCAGCCTCCCTGTGTTCATTTCTATGTCTTAGGTAGAGGTGCTTTTACTCTGTGTCCTGGTAGTTGGCCTAATATAGTGGGTGTGCTGCAGGGTCCAGTGGCACAGCCTCTGCTATCACCCAAGCCAGGTTCTCAAGGTGAGCTCTTTGTGTGGGCTGCATACACACCTCCTCTTGTAGTTGAGTCTTGGTTGCTACTGGCAGGTCAAAGGGAGGGATTTACCCAGGCCAGTCAGCTGCAAGGACTGGCTGTGACCATGGACCACCAACTTCCACCCTCCATGGAGTATCAGCTGCACAGGAGCAGGGTGGTGGTGCTCCTATGTGGTCTGTAGCTGTCCACTGTGTGCGTGGGCCCTGGGGTTTCCTGGGTGGTGAAGGCCAAGGTCAGCCCCCACCTGTGTTTTGCCAGGGGCCACCCTGCCTGAGCTATAAAGCAATCTGAGATGGCTGCTGCTTGTGCTGGGCTTGGAGATTCCCAGGCTGAAGCCAAGCTGTGACTCTAATCTGGCTGCAACTGTGGCTTGCTGAAGCCAGCTGCTGCTTGTTTGGTAGGATTTAGGAGCCAAGACCAGCCTTTCTTACAGAGAAGAAGATTGGGTGGGTCCCATAAGAGGGGTGGGGCAGAGTTTTTAGGGATCTTCAAGGCAGGTAAAACAGTGTTAGCTAGGTTGATGGAGTCCCAGATATGGCACCTGCTTGCCAGCTCTGTGTGGGGATGGTTTAGAAAAGGAACAATGGCCTCTGCTTGTCTTAATGCCAGACACTTCAGTTCCTCCCTTCATGCCATTGGTGCCCTTCAAGCTGTTACCCTAGTGCTGGAGCTCAGAGGGAGTGAGTCTGAGTAAGTGAGTTCATGTATTCGTTCTTTAAGAGGAACTGCTTTGGACTCCAGAAGTTTCTTCCATAGACTCAATCCCAGCTAGTTTTTGCAGCCAGAAGTTGTGGGGACTTAGTTTCCTGCCACTGGAATCCTGGGCTTAAGGGCCTGGTGTGGATCTGGGACACCTTGCTCCTGAGATACCCCTCCCAAATTTTTATCCACGTGGGTGTTGAGCCAGGCCAACTGTGTCTGTGCCCCAGCTACCAGTCTGGATGGATGTGCTTTCTTTAATTCAGTAGTTGTCAGACTTCCCTTCAGCTCGATTTATGATGTTCCCGAGTGATGGTTTTCCTGTATTTTAGCTGTCATTTTGATGTGATTGTGTGAAGAGGTGAGTCATGTCTGCCTATGCCGCCATCTTGACTGGAAATTCCTCAACATTGTAATTGTAATTCTTGCTTTCTCTATATATGCTACCAGACTGAAAGTTCCTTGAGAGAGGAAATATTTTTCTGTATGAATTCAGTTGCTGCATGAGCTATATAAGGAGTTGTCTGGTTAAATGTTTACCAAAATTAAGATCATAAATTGTAGTTTGGGTTTAATAGTATCAGCTATTGGTCTAATGGGTTTCAGTTCTGCTCAGATTTAGACATATAGAAGGTGTACAATGGTCAATTATGCCATGTTAATAAGACTAGGGAGGAAAGAATAATAATGGCAGTAGTTAACATAGATCTATTTTTAAACCAGTTCCCATGGATAAGGTTTTGATAATCATCATTACTTTAATAGACAAGCTCATAAAATAATATTTTTAAAAAGTATTTTTGAGACAAGGCCAAATTAGAATAATTACCTTTGAATTGTATTTATTTTCTCTTCATCATCTCCTTGATCCATTACACAGACCCAGTGATCGTAGAGATCTGATGAGAAAATACTGCCAGGAATATTTCGTAGAAAGTCCTTACAGAAAGGGAAAAATATTTTAAATCATTATTCTCATGCTAAATATGTATCAAATAAATTATAATACATTTTGTTGAAAATTTTAGTTAAGTCTTCCCTTCTTTGGAATACACAGATCTCTACCAACTCTCCACTGATGTACACACATAGAAACACCTGCTTTGATTTTTTTTCTAACAAAAACCCATAGGTTTTTGTTAGAAAAAACAAACAAACTAGAGTCTGAACTATGGTGGGAAAAATACAGGACAATCTGTTTTGGGTGAAAGCTCCTGACTGTGTACATTCTGGCATACCAGTACTATGTGACAGGGCCTGGCAAATCATCCTAAATCGTTCTTTCCCCCTCTCAACTCACTAGTTCTGAGAAATACATGAAGATATTTGAGAGGTTCATAATGTAATCACTTATCCAATCATGCTATACATATTTACTTGTATGTGCCAGGCACTGCTTGAGGTGCTAGGAACAGAGCAGTGAATAAAACAAAGTCTCTGTTATTTTCAAACTACATTCCAGCAGTATTGGTTTACAATTCCATCTAGAGGTACTGAAGAGTTTCTCCCTATATTCCCCATAGAAGGCTCTCACTGTTTGGCGGTGAATGCATCACAGGCAATAGCTGGATTCTGGGAGCCTGGGGCAGCACCCCCATGCCTGGTGTACACTAAATAATATGTTCCCAGCACATCATCATTTCTGGCATTTGAGACCCCTTTCTGCTGAAACCCCTGGTGGGGCTGGGTGTGGTGAAACCAGATTATAACACAAGCAGTATATGGCCAAGGGTGTTTGTTGTTCAATCTTTGTTTATAAAAAGCTTAAAAATAAACTAAATTTGGTTCTGGTCTTATGTTCACTTCTGTTCTAAGCCAATTCTCTTTGTTGCTTTTGGCATGGTATTAGCAAGGCTAAGCTTGCAAAGTCTGCTCTCCACCACAGTAAACTTTAGGCAGAGAAAATAATTTCATGTCTAAGCACTATACCCATGGGTGGCTATTATTTTGCAAGTTCCTGCTTATAACCTGGAAATAGGTGAAAGTTTCAATTGAGCAATTTAAATATCACTGGAAAACCAAATCAGCAACTTTACCTATCTGCTTTTACAAAAGGCAACACACAACTTGTTCCTTAAATGTCACGGTTACACCACTACTATGAAAGTGGTGATACCTTATTTAGCTGATCACATGTGTCTCTCTCCACTAGCTTCTGAGCTCCTCCAGGGCAGGGCAGCCCCTCCCTCTCTGCTTGTACACTTCAGTGGCAACCACAGTCCCAGACACATTAGTGGTCTCTACTGAATTATTATTTGTTATATGGACAGATATTAATGAGGGACAAGAGAAGACCCAGTAACTATGATTGAGATTCTAAGATAATTTAAAAAACTTCTTTGTAGTCATGTCCCCCTATCACAATACAATTTTTTAAAGAGTGGTTAACAAGTAGGAAGACGATTGATTCATTCTGTTCAATTAGACCTTTCTCTGTTCTAGTATATCTTCCAGTAGAAATGTAGCTGGATACTTGTGATTCAGATATATATAAAAGTTACCTCTTTCTGGGTAAAGCTACTGAATTTTCATAATTCCAAACTAATTTTAGTTGCTGCACCTACTTTAAAAGTCAAATTTAGAAGAGGCAAAAATCTGTTATTTCAAAGTGGGGCAGTGACAATAGCTCTTTTTTTAAATCTCAGTGGAAAACATACGTATGATCTGTCTTGAAGGAAAACATCATTAAATCTTGAACCTGCACTCGAGAGATAATAGGTCGTAACATCTCAATGAACTCTCCACAGCTGGAATAACAAGTTACGAAATGCAACCACCATCACAGATGAGAAAGAATATGAGAGCTGGTTCTGAATTACAATCACCAACTCACAGCACTCAACTGAAAGTCTCCTCCCCTCCAAAACCAGAGGCTGAGTCATCAGCAGAACTACCAAGTTCATTTGAGAGGAGATCCCTGCAGGATTAAAAATGAACTTTCTCTCAAAGGTCTGATGGATCAAAGTTATACTGTCTTAAGCAATTTTCTCTCAAGTATAATTTAAAGAGTTCAACTTATACTTAAGCAAAACCAGAATAAGTGAAAAGTTAAAGGAAAACTAAAGTACTACTTCCAAATAAGAAACAAAACAAAAGCTAAAAAAATTTTGGCAAAAATGTCTCCTTTCCTGCAACCACTTGGAAGAAATGAGAGTAAAACACAGTCACATGATTATAAAACTTCAACTACTTGTAACCTACTTAACCAGACTTTTCAATCACTGGGATTAAATTTTGTCGTTTGCTTATTTTTGTACAAGTAATATTTCTGCAATTTGGAATACAAACTATTCTCAAATTATACTTTATAATAGCCTCAATACTTTGGCACAAAATTTTAAGAAGTATGGTGCTGTGAAGAACAGCAGAGTAAGGACAATTTTCTAAAATATAGGCTTTAACTTCTTAAGAGGTGGGAGAAAGCCTAATTATATGATAAAAAGAGAAAAATTCATTGGGAATATATATATATTCCTGACATATATCTGGCTGGGCATACCATACATCTTTATTGCATTCCAGGGTTCAAGAGTAATCACAACCCTGTGCGAAACAGATTAGATGACCCTAGTTTCAGCTTTCCAGTTCTTCTGAGCGAATCCTCATTGCACAAGCCTACAAAGAGCAGGGGTTAAGGATAAACATGGCCCATTTACCAAGAAACCTCTGACTGTATTAAGTCATTAAGTTAAGATTCTGTAAGTAGGTGATCACCCAACAGGAGTAGGGGTGTGCTAGAGTCTTCTTCATCATGTTTTCCTTACTTTGGTTTTTATGCTCCACACCCTGGGATGCAGGCTGGGGCCTTGTCTCCACCCCTGGCATGGTGCATTCACACCCTGCTGGGCCATGGGAGACTGAGGCAGGTCTGCAGAAGCTATTGCCAAGGTTGAAAGCTCTGCTAAAAGCTGGGTTGACTCTGTTTTCTAAAAATGTGAGGCATTCTCAGGAATGTGGGAGGAAAACATTTTAGAAGCGCTCTAACCCAACGATGGAAGTGACTTAAATAATCGTGGGGTGAAGGTAAGAACCATAAGAATGTCAAATGTGGGAAAGGTTTTTATAATAGGAGTAATAGGGGAATAGGAGTTACTCACATTCCCCTTTTCTTTAAAAAGGCATTAGGGGAATGTGAGTAACTCCTATTCCCCTTTTCTTTAAAAAGGCATTAGGGGACAAGGAATTGTATAAATTAATGGAATTTTCATTGGTCTTAGACACCAATTTTTTTGTTTCAGTTGTTAGGCAAATGTTTGTTTGTTATAGTAAACTTCATTCTTGAAATTTAATAAAATTTATTTTTGAAAAAATCTGTCTTTATTAGGAAGGTAGTGAGATTGTAAGAAAGTCATCATAATCTGGATATTTGTTTTGGTAAACATGTATGTGTTTTGATAATTTTTAATTTAACTTAATTTTTTTTTGCATGGGGTAGCAGAAGTGGAATGAGGTGAGTGGTATGGAATAAAAAATATAAAAAGGCATGTCATACAATGCCATATCACTGGAAGTGGCTTTTAAAGGACAATTTTGACATTGTGATGTGTTTTTAACACTTTTTAGATTCTAAATCTATTATGGTTCTTTGCAGATGTCATCCAGTCCTTACTTTGGGTATAATGTCATAATGAAAGAAACCCGTTGTCTTTCTTCAGAGTTTCACCATGGGGTAGATGAAGGGAGAACTTTTCCTACCTTTAAAACAGATGCTATCACAAAAATAGATTCACAGTCTAGTTGTACTTCAACTCCAGAATTCAGTTTCTCTTTCAGCTCTCTGCAAGATTTCATATTGGCTGATTGCCTGAAAATTCCTTTTGTGAGAGGTCCGTTTATATTAAGGAAATAAAGCATATCCTATGGGGAAGCAGAGAAAAAGCAATGGCACTTTACGCATACAAACACTCTCAGCTGCCAGAGGCTGGGGTATACGGGGGAAAGCACTGAAAGGCTGGGCTGGATGGGCTGCTAGAAGGGCTGAAGTCAATTTATTTGCTGGTATCTCGAAATGTATTTTCTTCTATTTATTCAACATCTAAAAATTATTTTTACTTTAAACACTTGCTTTAATGAGACTGTCTTGTTTCAATGAACTAATAGCCACTTTAAAATAAAATTTCTCTGCCTCACGGTCTCTCTAACTGGTCTCCTCTTTCCTCTTTTCCCATTATTCTCTAATACAAACTCTTTTCCCCCACAAATGGAAATGTTATTGTCAAATTCATTCTCCACTTGCTTGTCTTTCTTTTTATGCATCATCATATATCATTCTACTTCCTGTATTTACTTCCTTCTTTTCAAATTGGGCTAAAAATATCTCCTCCAGGAAGCTTTCTCCATTCCATTCTGGTCAGTCTTACATTTGGCTTTCTTTTGGGCTGTAAGTCCTCTGCTTTCAGTGTAGAAAAGGAATGGGCGTTAGAGACAAGCATCCCATGGGATTTGAAACCTAGTTAAAACACAATTTTCTGTGTGATGTTGGGCAAACTTGAAGTTTTTAAAAAAAATTTGTAAAGCAGGGATGATGATGACGATGACAACTACTCCCTAACTCTGTTGTGCAGGGGTAGCAATAAAGTGGCTAGGCTAGTGTCTGGCACTTATAGATGCACAATATACCATAAAATGCCATACATCTAGTATAGTACTTAGAAGGGACTGGATACTCAGTAAATGTTGCTCAGAAATGATCAAACGCAGTGGTTTTCATCTGACCCATTCTATACAAGAAAGATAACTAAGTGCCAGAGGATGTATCTTTATGAATAAGCACTTGAAATACCAATAAAACACATGTAAGATTTTTCAAAAGCATATGATTGTGTAATCTCTGCTGCTAAAGTGATTAAAGGAGACTTTCAGGACAATGTAGAAGTCAAGAAAGGAAGTGAGAGAAATGTGAGGGATAATGAGAATTCTCTGTCTACCAAGTGCATTCTAAATTATTTAAGAAAGCTTATGTGGCTCTTTCCTGTGAGAGTATACTAGATGATTTCTTCCTATTATGTCTAAGTTATGATTCTGCAATAGCTTAATCAGATTTGTATTCTTTGAAATAGTAATAATAAAGATTCTCAGCCAATGCCATGAATGTCTATAATATTTCCATTTGGGGACAGATTTACCTCCCAAAGCCCCTCCTTTCCCATTGGTGTTACAGGTCTGAATGAAACTTACCAAGACAGGTTTGGGCAGATTGTCATTTTCACAAATATTTGTCAGAGACACTCCAAAGAGCTGTCCTGCCATGGGAGATGTTGGTGACATGGGCAAGTTATCCAGGTGAGTGCTAGAGCCTCGCCAAAAGGCCCAATTTATGATAGATCTTCTTCTTTTAAATGTCTTCTGACCCGAATCTAAGGAAGAAGTGAAGTAGAAAAATTAGTTTAATTCACTTAACCTTATTTCTACAGTCCCATTTTATATTATGTTCATTACTATGGCTCAAAGAGAAAAAGTGTTTATAGATATCTTTTGTTACCATTAATTAAATCTATAGAATTTCATTATAATATTTTATATATTAAGAAATAATTAGATGTTTGGGTTACTCTCCTATCCATTTTTGGAACATCACTGGTTTGCTTAAATGAGTTTTGGCGCTGAATTTTCAAAGGTGAAAGAAAGGAAAAACAATAAGAAGTTTGCCTTATTGTACTCTAACAAAGCAAAAAGTGTTTCATACCAACATATATATTGTCCCATTTTAAAGATGACACTAGGCACACAAAAAAGTTGAAGACTAAATTAGACCACAATTACATAGTAAAGAAAGGAAGAAGGGGAGGAGTAAAAGGGGGAGCGATGCAAAAAGTCGGGGAAGGAGGAGGAGGAGTAGAAAGAAAGTTGTCTCTATTAAGATGTTCTCTTGAAATAAAGAGTGCTTTATTACCTGATGTCCCCCTCTACTACTGAGACAGGAAGCTAATGTCCTACATTTCTCCCCTTTCTATCCAGCGGCAAAGTCTTTCATGTATCTTTTCAGTTCCCAACGTAAAAAACCCTTAAGGCAGCATGGATGGTCGTAAACATGAATGAGATTTGCCCTTGCCATGGTGAAATTTATAACCTAAGAGAGCAACAGAACTGGTGGGGGGAGAAGCAGCAAGTATATTAATAAATAAAATGTCATAAGGGAGGAACAAAATATCAAAGGCATTCAGAAGAATGAGAAAGCACACCTGCCCACTGGGCGGGAGGGTGTGACCCAGGAGGCACTGGCATTTTATTTGGGTTTCAAATGAATAAGATTTCAACAGAGCATCTAGCATCATGTCTCGCATTTCATCAGTAAATACTCAATAAATCATTCTTGAACAAAAATTAAGGACAGATTTAGGTGGAAAAAGATAAAAAGACAACATTAACAAAAAATGTAGAAGAGTAGTCAACTGAGAATCATGATTTTGTGATATAGTGCTAAAACATTTTTGATGTCATCTATCTCTAATTTTAACATAAAAATAGATGGTTATGCACAGGATTTGATATTTATTTATATTTTGAAATTATATTTAATTGATTATGCTATTACAATAGTCCCAATTTTTCCCTCTTTGTCCCTTCCACCCATCAACTTCCCATTCCCTCGGGCAATCCCCATACCATTATGTCCATGGGTCATGCATGTGAATTCTTTGGCTACTCTATTTCCTATACTGTACTTTACATCCTCATGACTATTCTGTACCTACCTATTTATACTTCTTAATCCCCTCACTTCTTCATCCATCCCCCAACACCCTCTTCCCATCTGGCAATCATTAAAACCTTCTCCATATTCATGATTCTGTCTCTGTTCTTATATGCTTAGTTTGTTTTTAGATAACTTGTTGATAGATATGTATTTATTGCTATTTTATTGTTCATAGTTTTGATTTTCTTCTTTTTCTTAAATAATTCCCTTTAACATTTCATATAATAATGATTCATATAACAATGGATGAACTCCTTTAGTTTTTTCTTGTCTCACAAGCTCTCTATCTGCCCCTTGATTCTAAATGATATCTTTGCTGAGTATAGCAATCTTGGCTATAGGCCCCTGCTTTTCATGATTTTGAATATTTCTTGCCAATCCTTTGCAGCCTGCAAAGTTTCTCGAGAAATCAGCTGACAGTCTTATGGATACTCCCCTGTAGGTAGCTGACTGCTTTTCTCTTGCTGCTTTTAAGATTCTCTCTTTGTCTTTAACTGTTGGTCTTCTAATTATGATGTATCTTGGAGTGGGCCTTTTTGCATCTGTCATAATAGGGACTCTCTGTGCTTCCTGGACGTGCATGTCTATTTCCTTTACAAAATTAGGGAAGTTTTCTTTCACTTTTTTTCCAGACAGATTTCCAATTTCTTGCTCATTCTCTTCTGTTGGTACCCCTATGACGCCAATGTTGGGCCCCTTGAAGTTGTCCCAGGGGCTGTTTATACTATCCTTATTTTTTGGGGATTCTTTTTCCTTGTTGTTCTGTATGCTTGTTTTTTGCTTCCTTATGCTCCAAATCATTGACTTGATTCTTGGCTTCATCCAATCTATTGTTGTTTCCCTGTAAATTATTCTTTATTTCAATTAGTGTAGACTTCGTGTCTGACTGGATTTTTGTTTATGCTGTTGAGGTCCTCACTAAGTTCCTTGAGCATCCTTATAACCAGTGTTTTGAACTCTGCATGTGATAGATTGCTTATCTCCATTTTATTTAGTTCTTTTTCTGGAGTTTTGATCTGTTCTTTCATTTGGACCATGTTTCTTTGCCTCCTGGTTTTGCCAGCCTCCCTGTGTTCATTTCTATGTCTTAGGTAGAGGTGCTTTTACTCTGTGTCCTGGTAGTTGGCCTAATATAGTGGGTGTGCTGCAGGGTCCAGTGGCACAGCCTCTGCTATCACCCAAGCCAGGTTCTCAAGGTGAGCTCTTTGTGTGGGCTGCATACACACCTCCTCTTGTAGTTGAGTCTTGGTTGCTACTGGCAGGTCAAAGGGAGGGATTTACCCAGGCCAGTCAGCTGCAAGGACTGGCTGTGACCATGGACCACCAACTTCCACCCTCCATGGAGTATCAGCTGCACAGGAGCAGGGTGGTGGTGCTCCTATGTGGTCTGTAGCTGTCCACTGTGTGCGTGGGCCCTGGGGTTTCCTGGGTGGTGAAGGCCAAGGTCAGCCCCCACCTGTGTTTTGCCAGGGGCCACCCTGCCTGAGCTATAAAGCAATCTGAGATGGCTGCTGCTTGTGCTGGGCTTGGAGATTCTCAGGAGAAGCCAAACTGTGAATTGAGGCTGGCTGCTCTTAATGAGTGGCCTGAGGCCACTTAGCAAGAGGTACTGGGGCTGAAGGCTCACCTAGGCCAGTTGTTGCTTGCTTGAGAGGATTTGGAAAGCTGTGAAGCATGAGCTAAGACCAGCCATTCATATGGAAAAATCTGTGTTAACTGCTTGGTGGGCCCATAAGTTGGGTGGGACTGTGTCTCAAGGGATCTTCAGGGCAGGGCAAAGAGTGTTTGCCAGGGATGGCATCCGCCTGCCAACTCTGTGGATTTTTGGTGGGAGGGTTCAGAGAGGGGACCATGGTCTCTGCTCACCTTTCTGTCTGGGAGAAAGCTGTCCTGCGGGTCTTGCCTTGATGCCAGACACTTCAGTTCCTCCCTGTATGCCATTGGTACCTTTCAAGCTGTAACCCCAATGCTGGAGCTCAGAGGAGGGGAGTCTGAATAAGTCCGTGTGTGGGTTCTTTAAGAGAAACTGCCTAGGACTCCAGAAATTTCTTCCATCAGCTTAGTCCCTCCTGTTTTTTATACCTAGAAGTTATGGGGACTTATCTTCCTAGCACTGGAACCCTGGGCTGGTGGACCTGGTATGGGGCTGGGACTCCTTGGCCCAAAGAATTCCTCTCAAATTTTTATCCACCACACGTAGATGTGGGTCCAGCCTGTTATGTGTCTCTGTCAACCCTACCATTCTGGATGGACATGGTTTCTTTAATTTTGTAGTTGTCAGACTTTCATTCAGCTCCATTTCTGATGGTTCTGAGTGAGGGTTTTTCTAAAATTTCATTGCAATTTTGATGTGGTTGTGTGAGGAGGAAAGCTGTGTGTACCTATGCTACCATCTTGACTGGAAGTCCCAATGCACAGGATTTGATATTTCAAATAAAGACAGCTCTTTAAGGATCCTTTCGGATCTCTCTACCACTCTCTCCTGCCCCATAGCCCTAACACCTATACATAGATACCAACTATAAACTCTGGACAAAATTTTTAAAAAGCCTACCTGAAGGCAATAAAGGGGAACCAGAAGAAGAGATATACTTGAGATAAAAGTGTGACCCTTGGAAAAAAGGAATGGCATGGTACTGGGTAAGTTTTCTATTCTCATCGCTTTTAGTCCAAGGACAGGCCCTAGGGTGGTGGGATGACTAAAATTTGGAGAGAAACCTGCACTCCCACTGGCTTGGAGAACTAGAGAACAGAGGTGGAGGTAACCACAGCAGCTGGAAAGTGATGAGGGAAAATTCTAGAAGGAAAATACTAAATTAGTGGGAGCCTCAAATGCTCTGTGTAATTTTCCCAAATCTCTACAGACCCCCAAAACACCCATGTGTAAGGCAGATCCAAATGGCTTGTAGTTAAAGCTAACGAGCTGAGATTTGAGGAGCCATCATCCTCAGTGGCATCAACACAGGGTTTGATTCCATTTTCTCCAGTGAGAAAGCGTGGCAATTGGTCATTTAATGCTGGCTGTGTGGCACAGATACGCAACCAAACCACCAGAAGTGATATTTACTCCACACTCCCTGACAATGGAATGCTGAAGGAGATGCTCTTTTCAGGGAGGACATGGTCAGCAATGTTAAATGCTTATTTCAAATAAATATTTTATTGCCTCAGAATAACCAAATTAAACCAAATGCTTAAAAAAGCCAGCTTGTAGGAGGATAAATAAATAACATGTTGCCAAATGACCTTCAGACCACCATCCACCCTTGGCTTCCTCAGGATGCCTAAGTGCACCATCAGTGTACACACATCCAGGAATAAAGGTCTTTGGTTCTAGAGTCAGAAGCCCAGTTAGACTCTTGGTTCTGACATTTACTGTGTAACTTAACCTCTTAATTCAATTTTAAGATAAGAATATCACCTACCTGTCAAAGTCTTATTGAAAGGATCAAGTAGGATAATGTATGAAAAGTACTACTTCACCCAGGGCATGGGTCACAGTGATACTGATTAAGAAAGTTGCTAAGACAACAACCTTCTCCCCACATCCAGTTTCCATTTGGCATAGCAGCCTTCAGAAGTATGTGGACAGAAAGAAATATCAGACTCTGCTTAACTTAAGTGCTTTCTTTTTTCCCTGACATTCCCAACCTATCCCAT